GGGGAGAGAACCCGTTTAAGAGAAGAGTAAAAACGCGGCGCAACCAAAAGAGGGCGGTCGGGTCATGCCGTCATTCTTCAGCGGGTGCTCCGTCTCTCTCACGACTCTACGACGGGACGTGTTGTGGCCTCTTGACGACGAGGACGGTGGATTGGATGTGCGGCCGCCGAGTTTCAGGATCCGTGCCGCGTACGTTTCGTCTGAGACGGTCGCGCCCACTCTCTCTGCAGCGAGAGGCTGCGATGCGGAGGAGAAGGAGAGAGGGAGGGGAGGGGGCAGCGTAACCAAGGCGACGACGGTCCCGTGAAGATGGATGGATGCTGCTATCTGGTCCCAAGTTGAAAAAGAAAAAAAAAGATGAATCACTTTTTTTTTTTTTTTTTTTTTCGACAATTTGACAATTTGAAAATCCAATCTCACGTCTCCTCGTCGTCCTCCCTCTCCAGAGTCCCCTCCAGAGTCCCTTCATCCTCATCGTATTCTGTTTACATATACACACGTCTACATATCGATACACCTTCCCTCTTCAATACTCGGCAATAGGCAACGGTACTATCTCGAGACGGCTACGTCTGAGAGGAGTTTGCCTGATCGAGGTTAACTCCGTACAGGATGCAAGATTGATGACGAATAGGCGAGAGAGCCAGTCATGGTAGCCAATAGTTCCGACGCCAAGACAATCAGGGTCCCGGACGGCTCTTCGCTTTCGCTCTCTCGCGCTCTCTCTCTCTCTCTCTCTCCTCGAATCTCATCGACATGTACCTGTACATGCTATTCGTCGTAGCCTGCTCGCATAGGTGATGGAATAGTGATCATACACCGCAGTACCCGTCTCTCTCGAGCGTCTCCCCCCCCTCGGACCCTGGAGACCTTGGCTGGACCCTTGGCCTTCGCTGTCGTCTGAGCACGTCTGCGCTGTTGGCCTTCTTTATCGGTACTATCATTATCTAGCTCCCTCGGGACGTTGGGCTAGGGCAAGGATGGTAATATTAGTCTGGCACGTACGGGGGGGGGGGTATCATCATGTACCCGTATTAGATTATTACGAGATCAACACCCAATACCCACCAGACAAGCTGCAGAGTACGGGCCGAGTAATAACGATCGTTGACGACGTGTCATCATCATCACGCGGGCTGCTGCTGCTCATTTTTCATAGTCGAAGGAGAACCATCTTCCCGTCTTCCCTTCCGTGCGAGAGAGAGAGAGAGAGATCAACCTCATGTTTGGAGAGAGTAAAAAAAAAAAAAAAAGAAGAGAGAGAGAGAAAAAAGATGAGATGGTGGTGGGCGGCTCGGTTGTCGTGATTGGCGGTGGCATCGTCCCCGTTATCACCGGACCGCGCAAGGGCAAGGCCCAGACGGTCGGAACTTGCTTGGCTGCGGCTGGAGGGCGAATGCTACGACGCCTCTTTCTTTCTTTTCTCTCTCTCCCTCTCCCTCTCCCTCTCCTCTCTTTTTATTGCATGTTAATTTATATTTAGTAAAAAAAAATTCTCCTCCCTCCCAACTCTTATAACCTTTTGAGTTTCTGGTGGTGTAGTGCATATCGCGTGCTGACAGGGGTGGAGGGGGCAAGGGGAGCAAGTGTACGTACATGTTCGATACAGTGTAAGCCACAAGATGAGGAGGACGAGGTGGTCTTGACGGGGAAGAGGGGCCGAGATGCAGTAGTGTCAAGTATCACCTGTAGCAGCGGTATTATCACTCGCAACAGCATAATCACCTGTGGTAGCAGGTACTCCCATCATGTGAGGGAGGGAGTGATGCGTATATACCCCGTAGCTTCACAGCTGTACGTCGTATACATGTATATATATTCTGCATATCACGGAGCGAACGGTGTCGGTGCCAGCCAAGGTCAGCCAAGGGGGGGGGGGGAGGTGGGCAGAGGTGAAGTGATGTGTACATGTAGAGCTGTCGTGCATCGTTGCGCTGATCGAACAGGAGGAGAAGAGATCCGGGAAGGAGAGGAGCTGATATGGCTATGACGGAGTCGGACAGGTATGCAGCTATCACTCAGCATACGATCACCGGCAGGAAGAGAAGAAGAAAGGGGTGAGGAAGGGAGGTTTGTGAGACGAGAGGGTGAAGCGGTTGCGGACTGTTTTACCAGGGGTGTATGACAGACCAGCAGGAGCTCTGATACTCGGTTACATGGCCTGGACCGACCAGACACGGACAGCCGCGGATCCCTGCAGCCTCCGTGACCCAATCCGTCATGACTCTCTGATAGAAACCCCCCCCTCCCCCTCCTTGACCTCACTGTGCGGGTTGCGACTTGTGGAGTCTGGAGCGTCCCAGACAAGCTCTCATCCCTCCTCCACTCTCGAATTCTCTCTCTCTCTCTCTCTCTCTCTCTCCCATGGCCAACGAATGACACCCTCTTCGGTATAGAGTGGGGGCGGTCTGGTTGAAGAGACTATCCGTGCATGCAGACTCAAGAGACCATCCGTTGTAGAGTCAAGAGGCTAGAGTCAAGAGTCTAAGGACTAGAGGCATGAGACTATAGATATAAGCCAATGTACTCATATTCATCCCCTCCATATCACGTCTAGTGCTATGCAGTAATAGGTCCACGGGATATTTCGAGCGGATGCAAGGAAAGAGAATAGTCGGCTTTTATTCTATTTTTCCAACAAAAAAAAAAAAAGAGAGAGGAAGAGAGAGGGAGAGGGAGAGAGACAACGCCCC